AGCCCCTTGGTCCTGAACGTGCTGCTTTCCGCTGCACGTCGTCAGATTGTTGCAGAAGTCCCAGGCTCTCATTCCGTGTTCCTTGACGACCGGACTTTCGGGGGCATCCCAGTCGATATCCAGAAGGTCGTGCAGATGTGGAAGCGATGGAGCTTGACGTTGGGACTCAAGGAGAACATCACGAAAATGGCGATCGTAAGCAATGGTGCCGCAGCGCAGGCCGAGCTGACACGCGTGGGCTTGGCTAAATACTTTGGCCAGACTGTCAGGGCCCCTCTTCTTTGTCAGATGCCAGACTGGCAGAAGCGCTGCGCATGGGCCGGAAGCTGCTTTGTCCTGGCATCGCACGTGATGTTCGACGAGATCTGTGGAGGACGAGAGTCATGCCGAAAGCTTCGTGGGGCCATCTCTTTCAGTCTCTCTCAGAGAAGGCCGCGCGGGAGTTGACGAACCTCTTCCACCGGGTCACTTACAGCCATCGAGTGGGGAGCGTGCATCTCAAGCGCATCTTGGAGGGCCATCACCTTTGCCCGGAGTTCCAGGCTGGCATGCATGCGACAAGGGCGTTTGTGCAGTCAGGACACGCAGTGGAACTTGCGACCCATGATGGCCCCAGAAGTTGGTTCCGCACTGTCAGGAAATGGCTATGCGATATGGGCTGGCAATGGGAGGGAGGAGTTCACTTTCATGCACCTGGAGGGGCCATCGACCTCTCACACCTTGACCGCCGCGACATGGAACATCTTGTACGTGAACAGTGGCGGAGGCACCAACACGAGCAGTACAAGCTCACCGCTAGGCGAGAAGTACCAGCTCTTCAGGCATGGGCATACGACACGCATCAGGTGAAGCGCGCCATCAAGCTTTACAATGTTGCGTCGGCGGAGGGCAGAGCTGTTTTTGTGTGGAGCTGCGCACTCAACAGCTTACTACAACAAGCGCAGGCACGGGGAAGCTGACCCCTTCTGCCCATGGTGCTACTCTCCGCTAGTCCGCTTTCTGCGGTCACTCTCCTCAGCCTCTTCTGCCCTTCGATGTGTGTTGGGGGCTGATGGATGATGAGTCAGGTCTTTCGTGGTTGGGGGCTTCTTCGTTTTCTTCGTTTTCGTTTTCTTTGGGCTGTTCGGTGGTCGTAGTCTGAGGGCTCGCCATCAAGTAAGTCTACACACGTGGCGATTACCAGAAGTACATGGAGCAGTATTCCGGCGACTACTCCAAGTACATGAAGGGCTCATCTCAGGGATCTCAGGGTGGTGCTGACTACCAGAAGTACATGGATTATTCCAAGTGCACCCCGGGCGCTCAGGGTGGCTCGCAAGGTGGCGATTACAAGAGGCCATTTGGATGCACCTCCAGATCGAGAAGATCACGGTGTGGCCGGGCCCACAGTATGTGGGAGCAAAGCGTCAATGCAAATGCAAATGAAACTCAGCAGGCCATGATGGGCATCTTCAGGCTCAGACAACATGAATCGGGCACAGTCGTTACCGGGGTAGCGACTAGCCTCTCGAAATTCGATTTGCTTCTTGAATGGTGGAGATGGGCGAGATGGCGGATGAGAAATGTCACATCGGCTTGGTGGCTGATGTGGGCCGTAGGCATGTCGGGGGAGCTCTTTAGTTGGGTTCTGCGGTGGTGGGCACTTTGGGCATGCGACCACCTGAAGCCGGCAAAAAAGAGGCCTCGAGCATGCTGTGGCAAGCCTTTTGTGCAGCATTTTGCGCGCAAGTGGCAACTCCACCGACGGAAGCATGGGCTTGAGCGAGCACAGCACGCTATAGGAAGAAAGCTCGAGCAACTAGGACCTTTCGGCCAAATCGATGGGCATGGAAGGCTCTGAAAATTGGGCAAGCTAGGAAATGCAAACCAGACCGGGGCATGTTGGTCCTCCGCAAGGGCCACCATGCTCTCTTCGTTCCAGGTGGGCCTCGCAGGCAAGTTTGCAGACTCCAGGCAAAACGAGTGAGATGGTCGAGGCGGCTTTACCCTCCTTCTCTCCAAGTGCCAACCCCATTTTGGGATGAAATTTGTTTTCGGCAGGTTTTGGCTCAGCTCAGTCAGCAGTGGCAGGGGAGCAACCTTGTACAACTTCGGCTTCTGCGGATGCACTGTTTGACCGACAATTTGTTTCGGAAGATTTTGGCGGACAAGATGGGGACCACAGAGAGTGTGAACCGTCTGATGAATTTGTGCAGCTTTTACGAGCAAGGATGGGCAGTGGCAAAAGGATTCTTCGAGGCCTTTCGCTCCAAGAGGTGGTGGGCAGGATGAAGACGGCACCTTTTTTCGCGACTTGCAGGCTTGGATGGCGGCTCGCAATAAGAAGAAGGGGCATGGCAAAACCACCGACGGGGGCAAGGGCAAGAAGGATGGCAAGGGCAAAGCAAAGACGAACAGTTCGAGGCAAACTTCTTCAGCTCTAGCTCGAGATGATGAAGTGTACAAGGCTGTTGTGCGGCTTATGGGACGGGCAGAAACACGAGGCACCGCTGGCTTTGGCGACCGACTTCGAAGCTTGATGCAGAATGCTGATGAGGGGAAAAAGCTCAATGGTGGGCGGGCTGCCAGGAAGCAGCAAGCTAAGGACCGCAAGCAACAGCAGACTTTCTATGATCCTCCGTCATGGACAGAGCATGAGGCGGCAATGCCTACACAGCCATCTACGACATCCAAGGACTCGCAGGAATGGAGCAACAAGGCGGCCACCAAGTCCGGAAAGGGCAAAGGTGATTGGCAACCTGATCGCTCTATGAAAACAATCTCGGGAACTGATGCCATCAAGAAGCTTCAGGACCAGCAGACGCTTGGCGATCAGGTGGAGGCCATTGTCGTGAAGAACCAATCCCAGGCGGTTACGTTGGCAAACTTGGCTAAAGTAAGCGAGCTCCAGGACAAGATCGCCATTGTCAGTCCTTTTGACTTGGGTGAGGGGGCTGGTGAGAGGGACATCACTTGTGTCAGAGGCGATAGGCGCGCTGTCCAGAAGTGGAACAGCGTACCTCTGACATCCCAAGGATATCCTGAGGCCAAGTCGGTGCGTAAGCAGAGCACTTTTCAGCCGCCGAAGAGAACTTTGCAGACTTTGAGAGTGATGTGTGTGCGTACATATATGCTTCCGGATATGTGGCGTGTTCTCCAGAACTCTCCCAGTGAGGTATGCAGACTCCTGGGTCACAAATGCCATAAAACCGAAACTTGGAGGTATCAGGGCACAGGCAATGAGCAGGTCCTCACTGGATACCTCACTTTCGAGACCGACGTTGCTGACCAAGTCCTTTTACTTTCCGGCAAGAATGGCATCTTCGTTGAGGCGTTGGCTCGCGACCTTCGGCAGAAACCACTGGTTCGATGGCAGGAGCCAGGAGAGGTGGGAGGAGTAGTCTACCTCCAGTCGGTGCTGCGCAGTGCGGCTGGGCAACCTTTGGCGTTCAGGAAGGGACAAGGGGCTGCTATTGGCAGCCGTGTTCCTATTGGACAGAAAGCCGAAATTGCCTGCACCTGGCGAGTTCGAGGGGTCCCAAAACAATGGTCCCAAGAGGACCTACAACAAGTTCTCACTGGTGCCGACTTCCGGGAGGTTAAGATCTTGGCGGAGGCACAAAGGGGCAGACCTTTTCTGGTGAGGGCTACCGATGACACCGGCTCTCTTGCCCTTGCTGTTGCAGCGGGGGACACGAACCTCCAAGTCGAACGTGTCCTTCATCGCGCTCGAGGGGATGGAGGAGCAGATCGCGAGTGGAAGCCACCCACAGCCAAGGGTAAGGGCAAGAACAAAGGCCAGACCCAAGAGTCGGGACTTGCTTCACTGGGGGTTGCTTCACTCTCGCACGGCACTGCTGAGAACATGGAACTCGACGATGAGCACAGCAAAGTACAGGCTCTGGCGAATCCTTCGGGGACAACGGCGGCTTCAGAAGCGAAGGCCTCTTTGAAACGAGGCCGCAATCCTGGAGAAGAAGATGGCAGAGCTTATAAGGACTCATGGGAAGAAGTGGAGTGTGGTGGAGAGGGACACTGCTTCTACAATTGCATCAGCACCGGCTTTATTCTGCGAACCTCTTCAAGCACACTGCAGGCGATGCAGGAGAGTGGCACAATACCGGCCAAGGGTCGTGGTTGGCCGGCTATATCCAAGCTCACGCTGACCGATTCATGCCATACTTTTCTCCCCCTTCCATTGACGAGGCCGGCCCCCAAGGGGAGCAAGCCCGGGCTCGCCTTGTTCAAATCGAGGGTGGACCAGCTCCGACAACTTGGAAGGAATACTTGGAAGCTTTGTACCGGCCAACAAGATGGGCGGATGAGATCGCTTGCAGGGCAACCTGTCAGATGCTGGGGGTTAACCTGGTGCTGGTCATCGGCAACCTTGAAAAGCAAGTCTGTCAATCTTCAAAAGTATCGGCCGACTACATCAATGGCTTCCATTCGCGAGGTGGACCAACAACGATTCACACGCCCGCTTCGTCGCCAAGGGGACCCTGGGTACATCCATGACCTTTGTGAGGATGGGGATGTTGAGGCCAACCCTGGTCCCTCTTTATCTTCATCGCGACTCCAGTTGGTGACTTGGAATGCCCAGGGTCATGGACACATCATGACAGCTCTTTGTGAAGGCCTTCTTCGTGGATACGACTTGGTGGCTTTGCAGGAAACAAACTTTACCAAATCCATGGCGAAGCAGATGACATCTCTGGCAGAGAAAAACGACTACCGCATCTTTCCACAGGGCTGAGGAGAACACTGATCAGAGGGGCAGGCCGTCATGTCGGGGTGGCCTTGCTACGTTGGTGCGACATGGGTTCTCGGCAAATAGAGTGGCGTCGGATTTCGTCGAGTCCGAGTTCGAATGCTTAAAGGTTCAAGTGGGCGACACCTTCTTTTGCAATGTGCACCGAAAGCCGGGCGGCGAGGAGTCCTCCTATCGCCACTTTATTCAGGAGACCATTGCGTCACATGATCGAGTGGTTATCTTGGGGGATCACAATGCCGACCTCGCGTCCATGCATTTCCCTGGGGCACAGACCTATGGCTCCCTGGATGCGTCTGGCCGTCCCATTCCGTCCAGGGTTCAGGGTGAACGATGCATCGACTTCTTTGTGGCTAGGGGCGCCCAGCTGCACAATGTTCATAACTGCGTGGAGACCTTAGGGGACCACTACATGATTGCGGGCCATGTGACCACTTCGGCTTGCAGCTCGCCGCCGATGTGGAGGGCGAAGCCAACTACTAGGTGCCCGAAGCCGGAAACGGTGACTGGTGCACAATGGGCGCAGCAACAGCGAGCTCACTGGATGCAGCTATGTACTCCAGAGGACCAGGGCGACACAGAAGCAGAATGGCAGTGGTTCAACGCGCAGGCCGAAGAGGCTATGCGGCGAGCCTACAGAGCAGCCAGTCAAGTCATTCCTGATCCTCCCCAACGACGGCCTAAGGGCTCAACCTTCAGCCGGGTCGGGGCCGATACGCTCGGGGCACAATCTCGGAGTGGCACTTCGTTTCGACTTCGAAAATGGCTCAAACTACAGGGCAGACTCAGAGAAGCACAGCGACAGATGATCCGTGCCGATGTGGGGCCCCATCTTTGGAGCAACATTCGGGCGCGATGGCCTTCTTCTCTCCGACCATTGGTGGCTGTAGATACAGTTGATACGGCCTTGGTCCTCGTTGCGGAGGCCATCGAAGAACATCAGGCTGCAAAAAGACTTGAAGCCATCCACCGGTGGCAACAGCAATTAGCACGGAGAGGCAAGGAAGCGATCAGATGGCTCAAAGGGACTAGTTCTCGAGTTGCTGTTGTTCGGCGAGCGGAGGGAGCATCGTGGCATACTGCAGCTCATCACGCCGAGAGCCTCTCCATGATCAAGACTTATTGGTCAAGTATATGGAATCGGCAACTCGTTGACCCCGCGCGGGCTGTTGAGGCTTGGGCGCGTCATGGTCACTCAGCGCGCTTTCAGGGCGAACTGGCAGCCTTGTGGACGCCCGTGAAACTTCACCAACAAGCTTGTACCATGGGCGCTTCCGCTGCAGGGCCCGACGGATGGTCCGGAGATGAAATTCGGACGTGGCCACGCGAAGCGTGGAATCACTTTGCTGTGCTCCTGGACAGGTGGGTGCGACGTGGATCCTTCCCTTGTGCATGGCAAGAGCTCAGACAGATCCATATCCCGAAGGACGAGCCTGAGCTTGACGATGGCTCCGTCGATGTTCAAAACATGAGACCGATCTCTGTCATGTCCGCTCTCTGGCGATGTGTTTCCTCGTGCATTGCTAAGGATGATAGTACTTTGACATGGCTCAATATGGAGGAGTCCGGGGGCGCCACATACTGGGCCACTTGGCGTGTGGTTATGAAAAGGGCATGCCGCTGGCGTCGCTGGACTACACCAAATGCTTCGACCACGTGAACCCTTCACTCGTGCTTGCCATTCTCCAGCGTGCTGGCTTTCCGAAGCCACTGGTGTTGATGCTTGAGCACGTGTGGAATCAGAGACGCGTCTTGGAGCTCAACAACTTTGTCGGTGAGATCGTACAGGTTACCTCCAGCATTCCGCAGGGAGATGGGTTGTCACCGATGGCCTTGAATGTTCTGCTCTCGGCGCCGACGTGGGCCATTCATGCTGATAGGCCGCTTCCTTACGTGTCTTCCTGGACGACAGGGCTTTTGTGGCTCCACCTCAGCTGCTGCACCTCTTGATGCTGCAATGGGAGGAGTGGAGTGCCGTTCTGGGGCTAGGGGTGATAGGCGCGCAGTGCAAAAATGGAGCGCGGCTCCTCTGTGTGCCGGAGGAGCTCTTCCTCAACACTCTGCGGTGAGAAAGCAAAGCTCATGTTGCCCACCTGCCCGGGAGCTCCAGACGGTCAGGATTGTTTGTACCAGGGAACTCATGTTGCCTGATATGTGGAAGACATTGCAGCATGCCCCCCAGGAGACCTGCCGCTTGCTAGGCTGCAAGCCCCACAAGTCTGAAGGATGGAAGTTTCAGCGCCATGAAGGGTTCTCTGCACTTGTTGGCTACATGACCTTCTCAGGAGTTGGCCTGCTCCGGGAAAGATGGGGTGTTTGTGGATCAATTAGCCCGTGACACGCCTCAAAAGCCTCTGGTGGAATACAACACGAGCATGTTTTGAAATTTCCACGTGGTCATTTTTTCCTTGAACGTGCTTCAATTTGAAATATCCACGCGGGCAACGTTTTGCTTGAACGTGCTTGAATTTTGAAACCATGTTTCCGGTTTTTGAGCCGCTGTTCTTTGAGCTGCTTTTTGGGGCGATTTGGCATTGGGGAGGAGAACTTGGACAAAAAAGCTCAGGGACCAGGGCTTGCGATTTGGCTTTGGGGGGTGAGAATTTAAACCAAAAAGCTTAGGGGCCGGGGCTTGCGATTTGTCTGTTGAGAAGAACACTTAGACCAACAAACTTAGGGACCAGGGTTTGCGATTCGTTTCTTGGGAGGAGAACTTAGACCAACAAGCTTGGACCAGGGCTTACGAGTTGTTTCTTGGGAAGAGAACTTAGACCAACAATGGGGAGGAGAACTTAGAAAAAATCTCGGGACTAGCCGGGACACGAGATACTGTGAGCAAATATCTGTTCATGATTTCCGAAAACCTCGGTGTCACCAACTCAGTGTAATACGTGTAGGAAATAGTTAAAAGAAAACCCTGATTCTCTCCGATGTAAAGTTGAACATAAGGCAGCCACAGATTGCGAGGCCCGGGATAGAAGCGTAGGTTCTGGGCGTGACGGGACAATAGATTCCTGCGAGGAAATATCTGCGTGGCACTTATAGAGCACCTGGTGGACCGCGGTTGACGCGTAATCTACAAGCAGATTAGTAGATTTGCATCCCTTTTTAATAAGGAATGTGAAAACTAAGCAAAATGGACTCTAAAGGTCCCGATGCCCTATATATGTATATATACATATAACATATATGTATCGCCACTCATGTTCTTCATTCGCTCACACTTGCAGACACAAATCGACTATCCCTTGCAGGAGAATTTAAGTTCACACCTTCTTACGGGAGGTTTACCCGATCCCTGGTCTCAACCAACAACCCTCAAACACCCAGCCTAAACCGCAGGTAACTCAACCTTAAAGCCTGAAACCCAAACCCTAAAGTTTGAAACTTGAACTTTGAGCAAAGGAAGCCCCTACTATTGAAAACTATTTACCCAAATTGCCATACTAATCATGGGCATGCTACGGGGGGGAAAGGATTAATTAGCTTGTTTTTACCGATGCTTTTTGCTCTGTGCACGGGTTTGGAAGGAACACGGCTTGGACCACGAGTGCGCACGTGTGATTTGGTGAGAGCGCAGTTGAGACACCAAACCTTGCTCGTTAACCAGGTGTCTTAAGTTTCTCATTTTCAATAACGCCTGGTGCGTCCAACCCGTGTCGTTCTTTGCTCGGTCCTGGCTTCGGACTAAACACAACGAATTGTTGCTTGATAACAACATAATCCGAGCTTCTGATTAATTGGTGGGGGCCCCCCCCCCCCCCACAATAAGGAATGCAGGGTTCCGCAACAGTTGGACCGTGGCCCTGTATTGATTCTCTTAAAAACAATAGGCTGCAGATCCCTGAGGTGCTGTAGCTTTGCGTCTCCGCAAGCAAAACAAGAAGCCTGCCGACAGATTTTTGAACCCCCCCAAAAAAACTTCCTTTAAATGTGGGGGGTTTGTCCCATACGAAATCCACCCTAATGGAAAGTAGTCTTCCGGCGGGCTTCCGGCCAAAAAAATTTCTTGAAATGTGGGGGTATTAATTAAACTGATGCTCGGATTAAGGCATAGTTTAGTGATGCTTGACTTGGAATCACGATTTCGTAGAGTCGGACGCGGAGCCTCCAAACAGCCGAACCCAGCATACGGCTTATTACACGGCTTGACTCCCGCCCCCCTGCAAGGCTCATCTCAGGGATCGCAGGGCGGCGACTACCAAAAGTACATGGATTACTCCAAGTACACCCAGGGCGCTCAGGGTGGCTCGCAGGGTGGCGATTACCAAAAGTACATGGAGCAGTATTCCGGCGACTACTCCAAGTACATGAAGGGCTCATCTCAGGGATCTCAGGGTGGTGGTGACTACCAGAAGTACATGGATTATTCCAAGTACACCCAGGGCGCTCAGGGCGCTAAGGGTGGCTCGCAGGGTGGCGATTACCAGAAGTACATGGAGCAGTATTCCGGCGACTACTCCAAGTACATGAAGGGCTCATCTCAGGGATCTCAGGGTGGTGCTGACTACCAGAAGTACATGGATTATTCCAAGTACACCCAGGGCGCTCAGGGTGGCTCGCAGGGTGGCGATTACCAGAAGTACATGGAGCAGTATTCCGGCGACTACTCCAAGTACATGAAGGGCTCATCTCAGGGATCTCAGGGCGGTGGTGACTACCAGAAGTACATGGATTATTCCAAGTACACCCAGGGCGCTCAGGGCGCTAAGGGTGGCTCGCAGGGTGGCGATTACCAGAAGTACATGGAGCAGTATTCCGGCGACTACTCCAAGTACATGAAGGGCTCATCTCAGGGATCTCAGGGCGGTGGTGACTACCAGAAGTACATGGATTATTCCAAGTACACCCAAGGCGCTCAGGGCGCTAAGGGTGGCTCGCAGGGTGGCGATTACCAGAAGTACATGGAGCAGTATTCCGGCGACTACTCCAAGTACATGAAGGGCTCATCTCAGGGATCTCAAGGTGGTGGTGACTACCAGCAGTACATGGATTATTCCAAGTACACCCAGGGCGCTAAGGGTGGCTCGCAGGGTGGCGATTACCAGAAGTACATGGAGCAGTATTCCGGCGACTACTCCAAGTACATGAAGGGCTCATCTCAGGGATCTCAGGGCGGTGGTGACTACCAGAAGTACATGGATTATTCCAAATACACCCAGGGCGCTAAGGGCTCGCAGGGTGGCGATTACCAGAAGTACATGGAGCAGTATTCCGGCGACTACTCCAAGTACATGAAGGGCTCATCTCAGGGATCTCAGGGTGGTGCTGACTACCAGAAGTACATGGATTATTCCAAGTACACCCAGGGCGCTCAGGGTGGCTCGCAAGGTGGCGATTACAAGAAGTACATGGAGCAGTATTCCGGCGACTACTCCAAGTACATGAAGGGCTCATCTCAGGGATCTCAGGGCGGTGGTGACTACCAGAAGTACATGGATTATTCCAAGTACACCCAGGGCGCTCAAGGTGGCTCGCAGGGTGGCGATTACAAGAAGTACATGGACTATTCCAAGTACACCCAGGGGTCGCAGGCTGCGGATGCAAGCTCCAAAAGCCCTACCTTGCTGTCTGCTCCGGCAGCTACAGATGCGGGTTCCTTCGTTCATGAGTACAAGAGCTACATGCAACAGCGCGGCAAGAATGTGTCAATGGGATTCGAGAAGTACATGAAGGACCATGCCGGTCAGTTCAAGCATTATGTGCAATCGCGAGGTGCTGAAGCAGCGGGCGACTTCAAGGACTACTTCAACAACTACAAGAGCTTCTTTCAGAACGAAGGTGCAGATGCTGCTGGCGACTTCAAGAAGTTCGTGGACGAGTATGCCAGCGACTATGCAAAATACTTGAAGGCCTGCCATTCCCATGAACTTGTTACAAGCTCCCTAGATGCTAACTTCCGGTTCGAAGCTCCATGGTTGTAGATCGATCGTGCGAAGCTGACTCTTTGAAGTGCCGGCTTTCAGTATGAGTGAGCTGTGTCAGAACCAAAACACAATTCATGTTGGCAGCTGCCACCGCTTGCAGGAACGAGGCAACCACGCTGCCACGGACTACAAGAAGTACCAGGCGGGGTTCCATGCTAGCGCCTGGAGAGAAGAGGTCCACGTTTTTGGTATCGGGTTGATTTTTGCTTTTCTGTATAGCGATTTTGACTGCTTGGCCTGGGCCGTCTCGAGGAGAGCGGACCAGCAGTTGCGACTCGACTGCACCAGCAATTCACCACTTTAGACCATGTCAGTCGATCAGTTTTTACTTGCGAGCAATGGAACGCATGCAGCTGCTTGATGCTCGCGAGGTGCTTGCGGCCGCTGGTGGTGACAAGAACGCCAGCCCGGATCAGCAGAGCGCCGAAGAGAAGAAGGAAAGCCAGGCACAATCGGCAATGTTCTGGCTATCTTGTGGGCTTGACACTGCTTGTGGCTTTGCCTGTGTGGCACTTGACCTGGTGGCCCAAATTCTGCCAGGAGAGGCAGGAGGAAAAGCAGAGGCTCCACGACGAGCTGCAGTCGGAGCGCGAGCGGCTGAGGAAGGAGCGGCAGGCGGAGAAGGAGCGGGTCGCTGGTTTTTGGGAAACATCACCGCATGCGCCCATGCACGTCCTCAGGAGCACCTTCGGGAGGAACTGGCAGAAGAGGCTGCCGGCCGATGCAAACATGTGTCTACTTTTGACGGTGTAAGACAAAGACAGGCACAGAACAGGGCAGTACATGGAAAGAGGAGTTCGCACTGAAAGGGTACTTAGGGTACTGATGCCATTTCTTGGTCTTGCCGACATCATGCCACAGGCGAAAGAGCATCAGCAAAGTCCGAAGGCTGGCGGGATGAAAGGTATCGCACAAGTCGTGGCGAGAGCAAGAAGGGCACATGCACGCAGCCCCTGATGTCGGAGTGAAGCAGCATGAGTTTGACGAAGCTTTTGAACGCATCATCTGCCAGTCCGGGGCAGCCCCGACGACGCTGCTGCAGCAGGCTTGACCGATACGTAGTGACCGGTAGGGCCGCAGTAAACCATGTCATCGCTTGAGTCTAATCATCAGATTGTGCATCCACCGCACCCACCAGACGAGGTTACATGTTGTGCCGAGCAATCCTTTATAGGGTCGAAGATGCACCCTCTATTCACCTGCTGTCCCAACTATGGGTGGTGACATGGGAAAGGATTCGGGCCGGGGGACATTGCAACAAGGACATGGGGTCAGTCTCCGCAAAGCTTAAAGTCTGGTGTCGATGGCATTGGGTTGGGGGGGAAGGGCGTCCCAGCCTGGCAACCTTTTTCTTGACTTAGCAGGGGGGGGGGGGGAGACGGTGTGTATATGCTGAAAGGGATCAGGGATCAGGTTTGGCCATGTTTGGCCTTTGGCCAGTCGGTTTGCCGCGGGCATGGTGGCCAGTGTTGTCAGGCTGGTGCCAGCTTCTTCTTCGCTCCACTGCCTCTTCGCTGATATAACAACTTAAGGAATCCTGTGACCTTGTGCCAAGCGGACGCAGTCGGGCAGGGTTTGGCGGAAGCAGACACGGGCGGCAAAAACTACCCAAGGCTTGTGGTCCTGGCCATGAGCGGTGCTCTCGTCGCTTTTGTGCGAAGACAGGCCACCCGCATTGGGAATGGCTGTCTTACCTTCACAGTTAGTTCACTCAGCACAGCCTGGCCAATCTCAAGGCTTCTGCAAGTACAAGACAGCAGCTCGTAGGTGGTGTACCCTAGCAGTCTCGAAGTTGAGCTTAGCTTCTTGGTGCAACCTACTGTAGCTGCTTGCATGACAGGTGCGGCGTCGCCGAGCTGCCGCAGATGACTACGTGCTTTGGTTGCAGCATTCTGGCTCTCACTAGGTTGGCAACAACTTTAGGCTGCAAAGTGGAGGGCTTGAGGGTGCTCCACCCGCCCCCCCCCCTTCAATATGATCAAGCTGCGGCTAGTGTGACATATGTTCCAGGTGATGCACCTTGAAGCCCCTCTGGCTGCAGTGTGATCGCGCTTCTGACTCCACCATAGGACCGTCGGGTGTTTTATCGGCCTCCTGTCGAAAAAATGGCTTCTGAGAGGGCAGGCAGATGATGTCAGCATCGTCGAGTGTCTGCCACTGCTCACTGTCTACCCACAGTGACCGGCCGCCGGCCCTTTTCCTTAGGCTTGCAGCCTTTCCGAGCTCTTTGATGTTTGCTTTGAACTCTTGAATTGCGATCTAAGTTCCCAGGATTTGGTTTCATCTCAGCAACTTCATGCTGCCGACCGTACACTGCACAGATGGAGTCCTCGCAATAGACCTTGCGCAGATCCTGGGAGCACGCAAAAGCCAGCTTGGTACTTCCTCCTGGAAACGCGGGGGAAATTCACAACGGACGCTAAAGCCGAAAACTGGCTTCTGCAGCACCTTCCCGCAGAGATATCAAAGGGGACCCTGCATAATGGTGCTAAGATCTTAGCTTTAACTCCAAACTCTAAACCCTGACAAATATGGGGTGGTTGGTGAAAGTGTCGCTGGAGCCTCGAGGCCGCTTTCTGGCGCGGTAAGCTGTCTTCCGCTGCAGTGACCAAACAAGATCAACAACACCCCAAGATTAAGCATGAAAAAAGAACAGCAGGATTGGGGTTTATAGGGTTTGGGGAATATGGCAAGACTCAAGCATGATTAGAAATGTGGCAAGTCTACGCCTTGTTTGGGTGCTTTGACATGGGGGGCAGGGGGCTTGTCTTAGGCAGCTTCTAGCGCATGTCAAGGTTTGCTGCAACTCTGTTGGAAGCTTCTCCAAGTCCAGAGTTAAGCACCGACTCAATTGCTTCACTATTGCTTCACAACGTTGACCACAGCTTTAGCCACTAGCAGCATCACCGGCACCAGCGACGAACTAGAGGACGCCACAGTAGCACACTCTATGTACTGTCAGGCACAACCCCGGTCTGCATAGACATCCGCAGCACTGTCACAGCTGCGGCATGGTCACTGCAGGGAGAGGACTTTTGAGCCATCACAGACAGCTTGCTGGCAAGCTGATGGGCAAAGATAATGTGTCGCAACACATCGCAACCCAGACGTGGGCCAGGGTTGCTGTGCCAGACTCCAGACCACGCAGGGGAGAAACTCCTGCGTTGGAGAATCAGCGAGTGTCGCAGAGAAAAGGAGGTGCTAACTTAGGGTCCATGTTTTGGTCACCAGTATAGAACCTTCGAACCCTCGAACTAAGGGGCGCTCGCAATAACTGCCTTACCATGTGGGTAGTTCTCTAAATTAGGGTCGCATTTTTCGGGCCCCTTAAAAAAAGGACCCCCAGAAGGGACTGTGCTTTAGATGAACTATCCATGTGTTTCCAATTCCTTCGGCAAGCCATTGCAGGTTGTCAAGTCTCCCGGGAAATCGACAGCTTCAAGAGGCACGATGCAGTTGGGGTTTTGGGCTTGGGGCTTGTAAAGCTCAGAGTATTTTCCTAAGGGGGGGGGGGGGGGGGTTGCCTCTTTTGTACCTCAGAACACGGACATCCTGATTGTGGGAATCTCCACTTAGGCACTTACATCCCCTGGTTGAAGTCGGTCCCTTGCATCGGTGCTCGAACGAAAACTTTGCTGGCATGTAGGACAAAGGATGGAGACGAATAAGGTGAGGTCCTGCGAGAACATGCTTGGCCCAGCATCTGCGAGGTACCAGGAAGCGGCCCCGCTCTGCATCTGTGAGGGCGGGGCAGGAAGCCCATGCGAAAGACCCAGATTTTGAAGCTGTCTGCAAGTAGTGGTCCAGCTGCAGATAATCGGGACAGGCCAAGACGGTTTATTCGCGTGCTGTAAGGTGTCCACGTCCTGCTCGGCGATGCAGCGCACGGGGACCCGGCACAGAATAGCTTAATGCAGAGGTATGCAGAGCGTGGGTGGCCACGAATTGTCGTCAAAGCTGGAGCAAAGGATGTGTCTTTCTCGATGTGACTCTGTTGTTGGACTCTTGAACCCAGCACCTGCTCACAGTACAGGCTACGGCGTATTCGCGATTGGAAAGCCACACATGTGTTTTTTGGTTGCAGATGCCAGCCCTCGAGCCCTCTGGTTAAGGTTTGGACTGTATACCGTAGGTTTCGCTCCTCGTCTGAATCGTCCTCCAGACCCTGAGAGTCCTAGTCTTCGAAGCACAGCTCTAGACTCCAAAAAGTGTTTCAACTCCAGTGCGGTCTTCACATTGCAAACGCGTATCAAAGGTTGAAAGGGATCCCCCATGCCCAGGCCGAACAGATCCTGGGAGCAGCTTGCGGATGGAGTCGGCGCCGGGGGCTCGGCTACTCGTGTTACCTCTTTTTGCAAAGTCGTGTTACTGTTCTTTTAGATGCATTATCACTACTATCTGCGATGTCAGCATAATCGCTATTATTACTGTCATCGCTCTGCCGTGGATGCACGCATTGCCAGAATTGACTGGTTTTCCTTGAGTCTCTTAGAACTACTACTATCTTTCCCCCGCCCACCTTTGCCCCGGCCCAGTGCGACGGATGTCTCGGAACACGTACTCTGTAAGCTTGTGGACCCCGCGGGTGGACGCGCTGGTCACCCGCATCACTGTCAACACGGACGTTATCATGGTGGGGGAAAGGACACACATGGTGCTTCAATTTCATTCCTCGTGCCGACAATTCCGACTTCGCTTTCTTCGAATACTGTTACTCATGTTACTACCTTTTTTTGATTCTTCCCTGTGTGTCATCATCTGGTTGCTTTGGGTCCTCGTGCACGGCAAGGCAAGATTGATTGCCTTAACCAGGTCATGCTCCGCGACCTCTCGCAGCCTTGAGCTCAGATGCCATATGCCATTCCCATATCTTGCAGCAAAGCGTGTCGAAGGTCGAGTCGATAAGAGTTTGAGCGTATGATGTGCGGCCGTTGCTTGCGGGATCTCACTTCAGTTGCAAGACATTGTCCAAGTATCTGCTGCGCGGCGCAGAGGTCTTACATGCTGAGGATTAGAAGGTGCACATGTAGTCCATGCATAGGACTGGGCACTTCACGATACCTCAAACCACGCCACTCATGCTGCCTAAGGCCGATGTGTCCTTGAAGATGCCGCAGAGCAACTTGGGCTGCTGGAGGCAGTGATGCGCGGCCCTTCGGCCAATTATGGTGGGGGTACAATTGCGAAGGCAGAGAATGCTTGTTCTGCACCTGCCTGGCGCAATTGTAGCTAGCAGCCTGCAAAGAGTTACGCATGCATGTTGGTGCCAAAGACATATCGGCACAAGGTGTTCAGAGTGCTTCCGCTGGCAGCTGCGAAGGACGCTCGAGTTCTCACTTTGCAGTCCTGCGAGCATGGATGTAACCATGTTGTGTGTGATTCAGAGTATTGTGGTTTCACGCACACCAGCTAAGTCGTGCGTTTTTCATACACCTGGCAGGACGGCATTCCACTCCTTGGCTTTCTGGATCTGGCATGGCAAGCGCACGCGGTAGCGCGGCCAGAGCCCTCAGCCTCAATTCCAGGAAGGGCGGGGCATGAAGGCGCATGAGCGAGGAACCGCTTCGACAAAGTTGCGGCTGGTTCCAGGAAGTTGTCGTGAAAGATTGCGCGGAATCGACTTGGAGCTCTTTTCTTTGTCTGTCTCATACACATGACAGCCTCTTGCAACGAATTCGTGGGCATCTTTTGCCAGCAGTTGGTCTGACGGGTCAGCAGTAAGTCAGCTGTTCACTCAGACCAGCGCACAGTAGGCTCATTCTTGAGGAGCCTGAGCGGAGCAAGATCGGAGCAGCAGGGGGCAAGAAACATGAGTTGGCTGGCTGCTTCTTCAAGCCTCAAGTTGGGATGCTTTGAGATGCATGCTACCAGTGGCTGCTGCGGTGCTGTCATGCTGTCATGCTGTCGTTCTTATCTGTTGAAGTAGTCCATCACGGTAGTCCAGTGGCAGTGCAGGCCGGAAGCACGGCCGCCCTTCGCACTGTCGCACAGGCCTGCGTTTGTGTTTTTCCTGTTGCAGTACCATCTTCAGTGCCCGAGGACGCTCGCGGCAAAACGTGGTCCGACAAATAACAAGACATCTATTGGCAGGCTCCCAGCTGGGCGGAGTCTGTTTCCACGGCTCGTGCTGCGGTGGCTGAGGCGAGCAAGCCATGAGATGAGTCGACATTCTAGATTTGGGGTTGAATCGGGTTGGGGACAGGCTGATGCTTGCACATGTCGGCACGGCTTTCAGCGTCGACAGGCTTCGGCCGTGGTAGCCGAGAAAGCGCCGGTGTGGGGCGCGCAGCTGTCGCAGGCAACCTGGCAACCTGCGCTGAATGCGAAACCATGTAACAGATGACAGATGCAGAGAACCGTGACCAAATGTGGCCTGCTCCGTACTATGCAGCTCCCCATCAGCGGTCCGATTCCAGGCCAAAGCTGCTGTCGCCGAGGCCGCCTGCGCTCATTTTTTGGGTTGCAAACGCTCACTTAGGCAAAAGATTCAGGCAGCGATTGAGGGGAATGATGGAAGATTGGACCTAGCATCAAAGAGACTGCACGCAGGGATCTGCACCGCAGGGTCGTAGTGATAGCAATGATAGTTGAAAGAGGCTTGGTTTTAAGCTGGGGTTCTTTGGATTTAGGTTTCCTGATGCTATTCGATTCTGGTCCCCGGTTTTGTGCCCCAGGTTGTCAAGATCGTGCGAGATTGGGCATGTCGTCCATCTGATCGCAGCCACCACGAAGTTAAAAACGCCGCGTAGGGAGATAAGGGAGACGTTTCAGGCTGGAGAGCAATGTAGGTATGACCACACACAGAGGCTGCCTCCTCCGCGGCGTCCGCAGCTGGCAGGGCAGCTGTGGAGGACCCCCTAAGCCGGGGATGCAAAAAGAAGCGTTTTGTCTTCTTCGTCCGTGGGAGTGAGAGCCCATTTCAGAGCACGCCGACTGGCACCATAGTCCTGCCATATGCTGCCGATTAGAGGCATCGGCAGTGCTGGAAGCCCGCGGAGCTGCGATGGAGGTCGGCTGAGACGGTTAATGTTGCATATATGTTCTGT